AAATATAACTGAAATGGGGAATCATCACTGAGAAGATGTGCTTCTAGTAGGGTTTTGTGGAGATCAGTTCTTGGCTCTATGCTATTGAACATTTTTATAAGTGACCTGCGAGACTACATAAAATCATCACTAACAAAGTTTGCAGATAACACAAAAATCGAGGGAGTGGTAAATAATGAAGAGGACAGGTCACTGATACAGAGCAATCTGGATTGCTTGGTAAACTGCATGATGGGGGACTCTATCCCGGGAAGCAGTGACTCTGAAAAAGATTTGGGTATCATGGTGGATAATCAACTGAGCATCACCTCCCAGTATCATGCTGAGGCCAAAAGAGTTAATGCGATCCAGGATGCATAAACTGGGGAATCTTGATTTGAAATGGAGAGGTTATATTACCTCTGATATTTGGCACTGGTGCGACCGCTGCTGGAATACGGTGTCCAGTTTTGGCGTTCACAATTCAATTTTATGTTGATAAACTGGAGAGGGTTCTGAGAAGAGCCATGAGAATTATTAAAGGATTAGAAAACATGTCTTATATAGTGATTGAGTCTATCTATTTAGCTTAAGAAAGAGAAGGTTACGGGATGACTTGATTGCAATCTATAAGTACCTATATGGGGGGGAAATATTTAATAACAGGCTCTTCTGTCTAACAGAGAAAAGTATAACACAATCCAATGGCTGGAAGCTGAAGTGAGACAAATTCAGGCTGGAAATAAGGTGTAAATTTTTAACAGTGAGAGTAATTAACCATTGGAACAATTTACCAAGATGAGACGGGGTGGACTAGGCCCAGAGGCCCCCAGCTAGAGGTCTCAGGGTCTTGCCACACTTGTCCCAGGTAAGGAGCAGTGGAGAGGTCCTCGAAGCAGGCTAGAGTGGCTGCAGGGGAAGCAGCCAATCAGGGCCCAGGAGGGCTCTATAAAAAGGAGCTACAGAGCAGCCAGAGACAGAGTAGTTCCTTGCTAGAGTTGGAGGAGTGTGGATGGCTGAGGGAACTGCAGCACAATGGACAGCCCAGTGCTAATAGGGACTGGGGAAGCAAGGAAGAGCTCCTGGCTGACTACTGGTCCTGAGCTTAGAAGAGCCCTGAACTAAGGGTGAGGCATTGGTGAAGGCTGCCCTCCCGCCACAGGCCACTGGGGAAGGGCCTACAATTGGATATCAGTAAACCACCAGAAGGGGACTGAACTCTCAAGAGGCCCAACTGAAGACTAGGGCCAAAACAGACTAAGACGGCAAAACCATTGCCTCCAGGGAGGAAGCCCTGGGGGTATGGCCTAATGGCAGAGCTGGGATTGGTTTAAAGACCGCGGACACAGTCAACCAGGGGGAGTGCTCATGAGAGGTAGGTGCTGACCCCATTACACAAGGGTTGTGAAGGATTCTTCACCACTGGTCATCTTAAATCAAGAAAGATCTTATGCTTTTCTAAAAGATCTGCTCTAGGAATTGTTTTGGAGAATTTTTATGGCCTGTCTTATACATGAGGTCAGACTAGATGATCACAATGGTCCCTTCCGGCCTTGGAATCTATGGAGCTGTATTGTAAACCAGGTCATCTGGACCATTTGTACTGAGCCACCATCTTCAGCAGGCTCTGAAAATGGTTTAGGCCACCTGTAGCATGATTCACACTGCAGTTCCAAGGGGCTTTAAAATCACATTAGCTAACCTGCGTTTCAAGTCGGTTAGAATTCTGTGGACATGTTTCCCACCCAGACCAGGCCACTGGTTTACAGGTCTTGGGGTGGAAATTTTCAGGTGATGCTCTTCTGTGTTTTCTCTAGGAAAAAATTCCCCTTGGAAGTTGGAATCCTTGCCTCAGTCTTCACCATCTTAGGGATAATATGAGAGGGAGAAATTTGAAATACACATTCCACACCTCCTACTGAAACAATCTTTGCTGAAGCAGAGTTGTTGCCACAACCTCAGGCAGAGAGAAGGTTGGGAAGCAAAGGCCTATGTTGTTCCAGATGGGAAGCAGTTGCCACTAATACTCTCTGCCAGCTCTGTCCAGCTGGTTGGTTCAGCAGAAAATCCATTTGTCTGAATTGGTCGCTTGAATCTCCCAATTTAGATTGTGTTTAAAAAGCCAGTATGAATAGCCTGGCTTTGAGAATGGTTACCATTTTCAATTCAATTAGAGGGGGGCAGTAAGCTGTAAATATTCTCCTGCGGTAACTCAAAATCCTCAGCATCTGGCTAGTGCATGAGAAGAAAATCTGCAATCTACCTACATCTTCCAGGATTCGTGTCACCTTGGTATCTGAGCTCCTCACAAGCAGTTAGGGATTTATTCTCACAACAACCCCAGGAGGTAGAGATGTATCATTATTCCCACTTGAATTTAAAATACACACACATATAAGGAATTGGGCAGAGAAATTAAGTCACTCGCCCCAGGTCTACAGAGAGTCTGTTGCAAAGCAGTGAATGGAATCGTCAGAAGTCTCTGGCTAGCCCTCTGCTTTAGCCACAGACCTCTTTAGTGAAATGGATCGATTTAGGTGCCTTGTCCAAGCTGAACGAAATGTAAAAAACAAAACAGCATCAGTGGTGGAAACTATACAAGATATTCTCACTTCTTTACATCTGAACAGCGCAAGATATTATTAGTAACACAGGTATGGAATAATTAAATACAATGACCTCAATGGTCCCTTAAAATGCAGATTAGATAGATTAAATATTCTGGGGCAGATCATCACATGGTGTTAATTGGCATCACTCCTATTGAAGTCAATGGAGCCACCATGATTTACGCCAGCTACGGATCCGGCCCCAGCATATTTAATTTTAGTGGCTTGTGTTCACTTGAGGGAAATCAGCAGCACCTTAAAAGGCTCATGTGTGGTACGGTTGAACCATGGAGCTTCCCTTTAAGCACTGCGGGAGCCAGTCTTTATCACACAAGGTGGTAATGGTGTGGAAATTGGATTAGCTCTCATTTCCCCAGCAGCTTTCTGAAAAACCCAGCCATCTGATTGTCATCCACACATCAATTACAGAACAGCAAGCATCACACAAGTAGGACATAATTCTGTCACAATGCAGGCTGTGAAAAATCTTGAAAGGTATCTGTCCTTTTTAAGGACTGCTTTTTAATGACTAGAATGGGAGCATAAGAGTAGAGGGGGAGGGGGGAAATGAGACCATGATGTGACAGAGGAGAGAGCCCCTTTATGGAATGTGCATACTCCCTGTAATTGTTGTCCAGCACATAGATGATATGAGGATAGGTGCCATGTGTGGGTGGGTGTGAAGGAGAGATCCAATTACAGAAAATTTCAGTGTTTGACAGCAACAGAGTCTTTTATAAAAGTGACATGCTTCCAACACTGGAAAAAGGGAAAAGAAAATTACCTCTCCTAATCATGTCAGAGGGATTATCTATTGGGATACATCGAAGAGTAACTGCAGGAAAGATCAAAGTGATTTACAGACATTAATTAAAGCATCACAAACAACCCTGTGAATTCCACGTTTCTATGGGGCATTCAGCAGAGATCATCTGTTGGAGTCTAGCAGGCGTAGCCTATACCAGAGGCCATAGGTGCCACGGACGGGGGGAAGAAGGTCTGGTGGCCTTCAGTCCCTCATGTCTTTTTCTTGCACTCCTCTGCTCCTGAGAGATGCGGAGAAGCAGACTTTAAGAGAGAGGTGTATGAGGTCAGAAACAAGCTTCCTCCTTTGTGGTATAATAATGCAAAGTCAGAGGCATTATGGGGAGTTTAAGCCTTCCTCTGAAACATCTAGATTTGGCCGCTATCAGAGACACAGGATAATAGATCAGCAAGGTCATTGGGCTGATCTAATATCACAATCCTTTCCATAGTTATAAATAGGACACCATTTTTTGCACACAACATATCAGACTAACATCTAGTCAGAAAGTTACCCTCTTAGGCAGGAACAAAACCATACCAGGTACCGGCCAGACTCCTCAATTAAGTATTGCTAGTAGTGTGAGCAAGGAACTGAAAGACAACGTGGATCTATGCAGTGCTTAATTTGCATCACGGCTGAGCACCGGCGCCTCTAGGCTTGGCAGTTCATAGACCCAGCACCTCTGGGCTTGCCCCGTCAGTTATGAAAGTAAAAAAATTTCTTGAGCCCTGGCACCTAATTGTTTGAGCCCAAAACCTCTTTCATTACAAAATTACGCACTAGATCTATGCCTAGCTCTGCCTATGACTCATGGCCTGCATGACCATGGGGGGCGGGGGGACACTCAATTTAGCTGTGCTGCAGTTTACCCATCTGTAAAATGGGCATAACAACACAGCTGCCTCACAGGCTGTTGTGAGGCTGGTCTATGAAGCACTCTGAGATACTTCGATGAAAGATGCTCTAAGTGACATGGAGAAGACCATCCAGCCCAGTTATTTGCTTGCATTTTATTAGCTTGATCTCAAAATAGCTCCCTGCACAGGCCAGGTCCTCTGCATTGCCTAGTCTAGTAGGGTGGGTATGGCTTGTGGCCAGCCTGAAGTTAGGCTACCATCATTCTCCAGCAATCCACCCCCTCCTCTCCGTTAACCGCTCTGTGCCTAGCCATGAAGAACGAGCCAGGGATGACCCATCACGGGAACTTACGGTGGTGCCCCCCGAAAGGAAGGAACAGGTTCTGCTCCTTACCCCGCAGGCGGCGCGGTGGCTCGTTAACCAGGAGATTTCAGTGGGGCGAAGCGCCGCGGGGCTGGCGCAGGGCGGGCTACAGCAGAAAGCCACGTTCCAAGCCCACGAGAGAGCAACGAGCCTCCCCGGCGCTGGGGGCTGGTGCCCCTGCACCCTGCAGGCCTGGCCGCTGGGCCGAGCCGGTCTCTCTCCCCGCCGCCCGGTGCTGAGCAGCCCGCGGCGGGCAGCAGCTGGCCCCGCGCCCGGCACGTGCGGGCAGCGCTCAGCCCGCGCTCCCCCGGGACCGGGCAGCGCCGCGATCGCACCTGCCGCGCGCGGGCCGAGCAGCGCCTCCCCCCGGCCCGCGCCCTCACCTGCCGCCGCCGGGGAGGCTCCAGCCTGCGGGGCCGCCGCTCACTGGCACCGGGCTGTCATGCCGCCGCCGCCGCCGCTCTTCTCCTGCCCGGGAGCGGGCTGTGCGGGCCGGCCGTGCGAAGAACGATCCAGCATGCACCGCTCGGCGATGTCACTTCCTGAGCCCGCCGCCGGCCCCACGAGCCGGTGCAGGGCAATCGGACTCAGCAGCAGGTTACCAGTGCAGGGTGCTGTCTTGGCCCGGTTTCACTGCACAGCTACAATCACATTGTTCTCTGAGCACACCGTGATTCCAATCGCCTTCTGGACTTCCACCTGGTGACAACACAGGCCACTGAATCTGGTCAACAACAGAGAGACAGACCAGGTGTCCCGATTTTAAAAGGACCATCCCGCTGATAGGGGCTTTGTCTTATATAGGATCAGTGCTTAATTTGTAATGAAAGAGGTGCTGGGGCTCAAGCAATTTT